CCCCAAACCCCCAAAACCCCAAAACCCCAAAACCCCTTACTCAGTATAATATAAAAAATATGAATTTAGAAAATGTTTCACTAGGAGATGGACAGCTAAATGAAGCTAAATCCACCCGCCCGAAATCTTCCCTCCAAGTGGCCAAGAAATTTCTTGGAGAGGAAGAGAAAGTTGTTGAGGACTCTGGAAGCCATGCTGTCAGAGTCTCCGATCTCTCCTTTTTGAAAGGTTAGTCTCTTAAACAGTCAGATTACTTATGCATAATATAGATCACACTGAGCAAGTAGATTTTAGTTGTTTGAATCCTGATAAGAAGTTCTCAAAACTGGTAAACTTACTTCCTTTAGCAGACGAGATTGATAAGTGAGGGTTTAAGAGCATCAAGGAATATTTCATTGACATTATTAACCTAAAATTGGGACATTACAACGAGGCTGTTAAGAAAGCTGGTGAAACTACTAACGAAAACCTCCTCGGCTATATCCACAAGCATGTGCTCTCTGTCATGGCTACCAAGCACAGTTATGAGTATTTAGAGAACAGTATTAGAGAGATGGGTACATTTTTGTGTTGACTTGATAGAGTTGAAGCAGAAACAATTCCAGACAGATATAAAAAGCATGGATAATTTGATTGCAAAGAAGGCTAACACTATCACTTTGAACCTTCACAAGCAAATTCTTGATAAAAATGTACATAAAACAGACCGAATTGACGCTGATTTAGAGAATTATGCTCTGAAATAACACCATGCTTAGGCTAGAAGATCGCTTGAATGAAGTTTCCATGAAGCTGAATAAGCTACAAGCCAAGCTTGCTTCTGATTACCACGACAAGGATCACATTGGCCTAATCTTAACAAACCTAAAGGAATACAACATTGACACATTTGTTGAGATTCCAAAATATGAGAAGAGGTTTACAAGCGTTCAGGAAAAATTTGATGAATTTAAAAGGTAAATTACTGTTTATAGAGTAAATTTTTTTAATAAGTTAAGAATTCAAGTCTACTGAAAAGATGTATAAAACTTTTGTTTAGCAATATCAAAACTTTTGATTCAAAGTTAGTAGGGTTTCTGACTGACTTCACGAATTCAACAAAGCTACAAGCGATTGAAAACAAGAAGCTAAGCAAAGGTTTGGACTTGAAAGTTGGTGAGGAATACGTCACGAAGGTAAGCTTTGAGAGTTAAAATCAGGTATTGGAAAACAAAATTTTCGGACCTATTGAGAGATTCAGAAAACAGGTATCTGAGTTTTACCTAGAAAATGCACAACAAAAGAAGATCATTCAGAGGTATTCTCCTGCTTAAAGTACAGGTTTGATGAGGTTATTACTGAGAAAGCATCAAAGCTAGTAGTTGAAGACTTGTTACTGAAAAGCAAGGAATGAACCGAGTCTTTGAAACACGATTCTACAATTCTAGATAGCCTCAGTTCCGCAGTTCATGAGATAAATAACAAACTCTCGACACTGAGTTCAACAGTTGGTAATCTTGAAGGTAATATTCGAAATGAGACTGAGTCTTCACTTATTAAAAACTTCTCAAATTTGAAGCATGAGCTTATGTCATCTGGGGGGACAAACACTAGAGCTTTCCATGAGCTAAGGGATGAGTTAAATAATAAGGCATCTATGAGTGAAGTCATGGCAATGATGTCTTTCAAATGCAACGTTAAAGATGTTGAGATCAATATGAAAATTACTGATGTCATTCACAAACAAGTGCAGCACCTGGGTGTAATGATAGTTGAAATATTAAGGAACGAGGTTAGCAAATATTCTCATGTAAAAGAGTCAGAAAAGACATTGCAAAACAAGTATAACTCCTTATTGAGCCAGAGCAAGAACATTTTCCAGTGGATTCAGAAGTTCAACCCTGAAGACATTAATACCCTAGACTTGGAATGACCAGAGGATCTTAAGAAGTTTAGTGCGCTAATTTCGAGATCTTTTCCTGAGATTAACCCAAATTTACATGGGATTAACAAAGGTAGGATATCTATGAGATCTTGTAATATCTTTAGTGTCTATAAATTCAATGCTTCCCAGAAATTTTGATGAGAATATTCCGGGTCTAAACTCTCCAATGATGCAAGATGAGAGAAATTTTTATCAGAAACAAAAGATTAAGATGGCAATTAACGAATTTGGAGCAAAGAATGATAAAATTCGTAAGATCAAGCTTAAGAAAGACACTATGTATTTTGTGGCATTATTGCTATAGGATCAGAGCGATTCGAGAAAAGGCAAAATCTCGTGTTCATTCGCATGAAAACTCAGATTCTCTCAGGAATGTCTCGAAAAACAGCCATCATGAGAGGGACCATAATTTCAAGTCTCCTCGTTATGGTTTATCGCTTAAGAACACTATTGAGATGCATTCGAGGAATAGGTCAGGGATGGCCTCGCCTATAAAGACTAGTAAAAATATGAAAGGCATTTGTAACAATATGACACTCCCTAATATATAACTCGGTCAATTATTTATAGTTAAAATGGGGTTTTGGGGTTTTGGGGTTTTGGGGTTTTGGGG